CAGAATATATAGGGGAGCGTGGGGCACAAAGTAAAGCGGGGTAAATTGTAACACACATGGTTTAAATATTTCCACACATGCTAGCATAACCAAATTTACAGCATTTACTAGTTACTATATCAACATTATGTAGAGAACAAAAGTGCGCCAAAATTCAAAAGTCTATTGAAGATATCGCTAAACATTTATTTTACTGTAGTAAAATTATATTTCTGGCTTAAGTCAATTTTTAATCTGCGCAACTGGAATTTAAAACTGGTTACTGTCTTCTGATAGTTAGCAAAGCATTAAAAAACAATTTAAACTGCTAAATAACAGATTGGAGATGCAGAAGTAAAAGTAAAAACAAAAACCTCAACTGCCCCAAAACCAACTTACTCTCAGTGGCTTGCACTGCTTCCTAACATAACGTCCCGAGGAGCTGTGAACGTCCCAGTCCAGCTTATCATGGCAAACATATCTCTTCTTCCTGCATAATGAGAAAAAAAAGCAATTTTGATTCTGTATATATACACACACACAATAGCAGAATGTGGAATCAAAGCTAATAAAACAAAGTTCAAACAATAAAATTCTGCAAAAAAGATCAAACTAAGAAGAAACCGCTTTTCAGGGACTTTAAACAAAAGATTCTGCCTCCTTTTGCTATTTTTTTACTGGATAAGGACTTCACACTAATTTCACTCATGGAGAGCATTTTCTAGCAAAGGAAGTATTACAGTTTACTATATTATAGAGCATAACTGCATAATTTATCCATTTCCATGACTTTTCCAGGGCTAAATTACGTTTATAAAATTAAAAACATCAATTACATTTTTAATACAAACATTGAAATTACCTTGTTTTCTGCAGCATGTGTGTCGGTATAGGGCCCAGCACTCGCTCCATCATGGCCAGATGCTCTTTGCTGTCATGAGTCTATAATTTAAAAAACAAAAAAAAACAAAACACAAACTACTAAATAAGTGCTGAATCAACAAGTCATGTGAACCTAAAGTTAACAAATTATCTAATTTGAACTCAGATAATTACCTGAAATAGAGTCGATCCCAGATAATACTCAATAAGAATGCATCCCACACTCCACACATCACAGGAATGACTCCAGCCTAGATCTGTTAGAAACAGACAGATACCTCGGTTATAGCTCACAACACATGCAATCATAGCAAGTGTGCTGTCAATGTACCTCAGAATGTATAAATAAAAACAATGTATCCGTAACTGCTTACCCAGAATAACCTCTGGAGCTCGGTAATGTCGTGTGGACACCACTGAGGTGTGATGCTCATGCTCATATGTTGCATTCCCAAAATCAACTACTTTCACATCAGGATTCTTCAAAGTTCTCTCGTCCCTCTTCTACAATTTCAAACAACACTATTAATTGATTGCACAATGCATGGTAACAAAGCATGTCTGAATCGGTGCGGTTTTTGTTAAACTATTGAAATTATCTATATAAATAGAAATATTTCATGAAAATTTTAAACAAATTTAGAAAAGTTCCACTGGCAACTAAATTAAATAGATTTAAATCGAATTACCACAATTACTAAAACTGAAAAATATTTTCTATATTTTTAGAAATATTTTTCAGTAATAATAGAAATGTTTGATTCTATAAAACCTAATGAAATGACAAAAGCACATACAATTTTTAAATATTAAATATAATCATTTATAGTACATAAATACTACTAAAATAGCACCGATCTGAAAGGAGTCAATGTCTCTCCTTACCATTTTTGGATTGTACTTGATGTCATACTCTGAACTAATAAAGAGGATGTTCTCTGGTTTCAGGTCAGTGTGTGTCAGCTTATTCTTGTGAAGAACTAAGACACAAAGAAGCAAAGAAATGCAAAAGAATAAATCTATGTTTTGTCCAAAATACACAGAAAAAAATTCATTCAAACAAGATCCGTGACTCACATCTGACTGCTCTGATGATCTGGTAGGCCATGTGCCTGATGTGGTTGACAGAGAAGGGCTGAAAGCTATTTTCCTTCAGAAAATCATACGTGCTCAAGCCCAGTAGCTCAAAGGCGATGCAGATGTGCCCGTGGTGATCAAACCAGTCATACATCCGCACACAAGCACTGAAGAAAGGAAAAATAGTTATGAAATACTGCATTGCTAATTTGTAGTATGGACTTCTATACAGCCAGGAGGCTGTAAATTTCCAATTAAGTGTGATATGCACAGCCGTGCATCAGAGGCATAAATTACTTAAGATTTAATTCTCATCTGCTTTCACAGGCACTTACTATCGTCGGTCACAGTCAAGTGAGTTAATCTGCTCCAGCACCTCAACCTCAGACAGAGCTGCATCACGATAGTGCTCAATGTTTTTAATGATCTTCAGCGCAACACGAGCTCCTCCCCTGCAACAGCAACATACAGTAATTTCATTAACACACCAATGGCTGCACTTATTATTGGACACTTAATCAACCAAAGCATTTCTCGAAAAACACTTAACATTTAAAGCTGACATGAAATAAATTATATTTTCTAAACCCATATTATTGATCTTGAAGAGCTAGTTAACCCAAAATGAAAATTTGCTGAAAATGTGCTCACCCTCAGGCAATCTAAAATTTAGAGGAGTTTGATTCTTCATCAGAACAGATTTACAGAAATTTTGCATTCACTTGCTTACCAGTGGATTCTTTGCAGTGAATGGGTGCCGTCAGAATGAGAGTCCAAACAGCTGATAAAAACATCACAATCCACATGAACGCAGTCCATCAGTTAAGGCATTTTAACTTTAAACCACTGCTTCTGGCCAAAATAGTCCCAGAGACCAGAGTTGTGAGAATTATTGTGATGTTTTTATCAGCTGTTTGAACTCTCATTCTGACGGCACCCATTCACGACAAAAGATGCACTGGTGAGCAAGTGATGTAATGCTAAATTTTGCCACATCTGTTCAGATGAAGAAACAAACTCTACATCTTGGGTGTCCTAAGGGTGAGTACATTTTCAGAAATGTTTCATTACCATCTCTTTAAATTTAACAATTAATCTGAGCACATTTTGTTTTTACATTTCTTTTGTCCCTGTAACTCAATTTTCTGGTGAAACGGCATATATATTTCAATAATCAGTTTCATTTTACACCACAATACAGAAGAAAAGATCTGTTGCTATTTCCATTTCACTGCAACCTTTGATTATAATCAATATGGGGTCTTCGAGAGCAATACATTTTAAGATGCTAAAGCGTGGCATGAAGACTTACTTTTCATGATCAATGCACTCCACCACTTTACCAAAGGCTCCCTCTCCAAGTGTGCACACAATCTCATCTATGGGTTTAAAGAAAGACAGTTAGAAACATGGAATTGACACAATGGTCCATCAAACCCTTTCAAAAAATTGCTGCGTTTTGGAACTCTCAAATTAGAAAAGCAACGCATAAATAATCCACAAACATAAGACAATACTAGACTGGTGATACACACATCAGGATAAGTCTAAGTGTTCCGTCACAACTGCTTTTATCAGGACCCCAAAATTAGCATGTAAAATTAGTCTGACCCCAAAACAGTGAATAAGCAGTGAAAGAAATGAAAATATACAGAAGAGAGACAGAAAAGTGTGTATTCTATACATCTTGCTCTCAGCATGTCTCCACTGTGATAGATCAGGTGCCCCTCCTCATCATCCTCAATACTCCTGGATCTTTTCCTGCGATGGCTCCTCTGGAGTTTCAGACCACCGCCATCATCATCATCATCATCATCACCACCATCATCATTAACCCATGAGAATCGTGGGGGACCAGAACGCGCCATTCATTCATTCACGAGTAGGGGGGGGGAAGTGAATCAGCCCATTCAGATACCCGCAGCAGACAGGCCCGGCCACAGGGAGCAGCCAACGCAAATTCAGCCCGCGAGATACACACAGGGCCCACCACATCGTGTGTGTTACAGAAGAAAAACAATGGCAACATATTTTCAGATGAGATACTTTCTCAAACCATTAAGTAGACAATTATAACAATTCATCATTGAAAAACATTCTAGATTTTTATCCCCCCTTCATGAATGAGCTGCTTTAAAACATTTTATGTGCTGTGGATATCAAACTAAAGTTATGTCTTGAGTAAGAACCCTCTTATTATGTCATAATATTAGCATCTTCCTGTCATTCATTCAGACAATACTGGAAATGAGGAACTCTCACAGTGCATATAAACAAGAAAGAAGCCACAGAAAGCACAGTTGCCATGGCAATGGGAGACAGACAGTGGTCATACCGAGTCAGAGTGATGGTGCGAGCGATGGTGCCGGTGCCGGTGTCTGTGCCGGCTGCTCCGCCTGCTGTTGCCAGAGGATTTGCTGTAATGGTGCCAGTCTCGGTCTCTCTCCCGACATCTGGATCCATTCCGGTCTCGGTCTCTCTCCTTGTCTTTACAGGCACCTAGGCTGTCGTCCTCATGGTCTCTGAATACAGCTCGCTTGTCTTTAGTTTCCAATCTTTCATTTGAGCTCCTTGTCTCAAGGTAATGCCTGTTAAGAAAATGCAACTTTTTTTTTATAATAATATATTTTTTCACAACACAAATGCATAGCTACAAATACAATTTCTATTTCTATTTGAGATCTCGAGGTAATGCCTATAAAGAATGCAACAAAAATCTACTGGGTACTGACTGATTCACATTGGACTGAAAATTATAAACATCACTATAGCTATTGACTTTTTTTCTATCCTGTGTCTTTATGAATGAAATTGAGAAGAAAAAAAAATCTTTAATTTGACAAAAATACATTTTAGAACAGGGGTGCCCAACCCTGCTCCTGGCGATCGACTGTCC